GTTGTGTTTTTAAAAATTCATGTCAACTTTAATACTGTTTCAATTGACTTCGAAGTATGACTTATGTCCTGTTTCTTTTAATTATATTGAAACAAACACGTGTTTGTTACGTAACACTAAGACGTGCACGTGCTAGTTACGTAACTTAAAACACGTGCATGCAGATTTAAATATTCAAGTCTACTAGTCTAGTGATTCTCGTTTCAAATGACCAGACTATTTACTTAAAAGAATATCTCAACATAGAAAATACTTAGATTCAAGTAGGGTAAATAAATTTTGTAAATAATTTGTACATTATTCGAAATTTTATAATCAGAATATTTACTGTGCCAAGAGAATGTTTGAGTATCTATAGCATAAGATATTCCTGATAAGCTAAGGTAAACAATGAGAAGATATTTGCCTTGATTATAGAATCAGAAAGAACTTATATCATTTTAAGGACTTTAGCTGATTAAAAGGTACGGACATTTGTAGATAGATTTACTTTTATAATCATTAAGGTTTTAAGGATTATTATCACGAATAAATCTTTCTTTTCTCCTACACCGGAGTAACAAAAGTATTTTTTATCAATATTCCTTTGAGTTGAATTGTACGAATTATTAAAAATTTTCGTTGTGTAAAATGTTCAAATACACTCTCCAAAATTTCCCCCAGAATTTTTGCAGTAAGAAAACCTCAAACATTTTTAAACCTTTTAAAAAATGTATTGAGATGGAAAGTTGCATTTTTGCACATTTCACCAAAATAAGAGACTTGACCAAATATTATGCTGCTAAATTAAACAAATATCACTTATGAAGTGAAAGAGGCACGCTGTGGGATCTTCATAAGAGCAGTATGATTGCAGTAGGGTCTTCATGATCGGCGAGCTCTATGCTCTCGCTACGCGTATTTTGAACATGCTCAAAACAAGCATAGCGGGATTGTAGCCAATAAGAGTCGGGGCAAAAATTGTAAAAAGAGCGTAATAAAAGCGCTGTAATCGTACATGTACAAGCAGCGCAGAAGCATCGTGGAGATATCTTTCTGATCATAGTAAAAGCGTGGGAACTTGTGAAGTACGCCCTTACAACGCCCATACTATGTTCTTAGTACGTTCCCACTACGAACTCTCTACGTTCCTGTTGATCTTACCAAGATCTACAATGACCTTACGCCAAATCATACCACGACCTATCAAACAGCAGTTTGTTTTTATAGCCTGATATTTTATCTATCATTATCAGTCAACTACTACTATAAAGGGTGACACTATTCTTGACGATCATTTGCAGTTGAGTCTTCGAACTTTTCACATCTTATTACTGTAACAGTTACAATTGAAAATGTCCCGTAAACCACGTGGTAAAGGCCGTAAAAAATCATATATACATAATCGTCAAAGTCCTACCAGAAAAATCTGCGGTTGCAAGATATAAATACATCATCGCCTAAATCATACTAGAAGCGTAACACGATCGTAATATGATCGGCACCACCGTAGCGATATCGTTGTACAGTGTCATCTAGGTCTCCGTAGCGTCGTAGTATGATCTTGTATGTGGTAGCGGCAGCGTAGAGTAAACGCTGTAAACACGGCCGCTGGTCGGCAACAGTCTGCCTAACATCGTAGTAGAGGTGTGTTATCAGCGCGTTTGACGTAGGGGTATCGTAGTGCGGTCTTAATGAAGACCATACTTTGCCAAATTGCTCGATTTCGAAGCCGATTGGCACCGATCCGCCGTGATCCAAAACTTTTTAAAATCGTGGCTTGATCGGGATGATCGTCGTAACGTCGTAGCTCTGTGTGAACTGGGGGGTTATAATCTAAATGCAAAAAACAAGCATATAACTCTCTGTTATAAAATTACTTGTAATTGTAACTTTTGTTCCATAAATAGTAGAGGGCTGATATTTAGACATATATTTAAGGAGTCTCCAGTCTTTATGTACTGTAAAGGTCAAGGTCATATCAAGAGGTGAAAGGTCAAATATTGTGACGTCATCTATTGAATCTTTTAGTTTTTATGCAATTGATATCCTTTAATCGCTAAAATATTTGAAAGCACTGGTTCCATTTTTTTTTACACATTTTATTTTGAAACCCATTTGAATCATTCTGGTGATTTTTTTGTAAAAATTGAATCATCCTTTTTCTCATAAGACAACTTAAAGTGTAGGATATTCATATAGGAATTTTCAATTCGGACACTATGGATGTTTTATTTTTACGTAATATTTTGCTCAAATTTTCCAGTATCAATACGACTTACTGAGTTTAAGTAGCAAAAAGGTTATTCCTATAAACAGTATTGCACAAATTTGCAATAGATCAATAGATAATTTTAAAATAAGGCTCATGCTCAGGTCGAATGTCTGATTTCACAATCAATCTTTTTACAGGGGTCTGATAGGCCGTTTTTCAGACCATATGGGCAGAAAATGTGTGGTTGAATTTCTTTCATATCGTATATAAAGAGAGATTTTGTTTTTGTAGAACAAAATATCAATATTTCTGAAAAATTGAATTTGAGGAAAAATTTCGCCAATCTATTGTGTCCTACCTTAAAAGGAAAAATCTGTAATCAGTGTTTCCCGTCTTGATATTTTAAAATTAGCTTTAGGCGTATTACTTTGCATTTAATATTTGAAGAATGAATACCTGTACAACATTTGCATTTTAACACGGACATAAACAACTGTGAAAGTTACAGGTATGAAATGGAATAATAATATTCGCTTACACAATTAAAAAAAGGTATGAATTGAAGGGTTTTTAACTGCTGATTCTTATTATATATAAAAATATTGCTGTTATTTTGTTAAGTGGGCAAATGAACTAAATGGTGTTGACTTTCCTCGACCTATTTTTAGGGCATCTTTGTTATAATTAATTAGACTGCGAGGCTCTCATTTTACTTATGAGAACGAAGGAATATGGTCAGTGTGACCGCGCGGTCGGCAGGGATGGTTTTATGTATTGGCACCTGACTCAATCTTTTAAAGTTTCAAACCGGCCCTTGATTTATGCACTATTAACAGAGATGCATCTGGATTGTTTGTAAATTTTTGCTTACATCTATCATTGATAATCGACATTTTTAATGTAAAAACACATAAGAATGTTCATACTTGTTGAATAATTTAGAGTTAGGCCTTTGTTTACATACAAAATGTACATTATATTGTCACCCCTTTTATCGTTTTCATCCCCACAAAGATACTACGGCATTAGTATGACATTTGAAGGAATCAAAAAATTCTTAAATGTAGTCATTGTCTTTTACAACAAATAATTACGGCTTAAATCCGTCCTTAACAAAGTTACTATGAGCCATGAGATTACTTCGCTATAAGTATTTTGCTGTATGAAATTCCTGTAAATTCATACAGCTGAGGATCCAAAATAACTTAGTTATATCTTTAAATTCACAATATCCGTTATCGTTCTAAACGAGTTTTCTGTCACAATATTTTGTTGCTTTGTTGTGAATGTACATGTATGCATGTTCGCAAAAGTATAAAAAAAAATGTTTACTATGAGCACATGTTGTTTAAAAACATAGATTTAAAGAAACCTGTGTTGAGGACAATCAAATAAAAAGTTATTCTCCTTCAAAAATAATGCACAATACTAGATTTTTTTGAGTAGCTATTAATCAAACTAATTACTGTGAGCGATGAGCTCACTAAATTTATTCGCCTCCATATAGTTATAATGGCAAAGTCCATGTTTTGCTGTGGCCGGGAAACCCAAAATATGTTCGGATCAAAAAGTAAAATAGGAGGTGCACAATGGCAATATGTAATAAAGATTCTGTGAAAGTTTCATCAAATTTTATGCAGTGGTATGAGAGGAGTTGCGGATAAGAGATATATGTAACAGACGGACGGACACAACGTACAGAAAATTAACGATTACTATATACCCTCCCGCTTTTCAAGCGGGGGGTATAAAAAATATATAATAATACATACCCTTTTCATAAATGATCAAAAAAATATACAGAGGGCCGAATACTCATATTAGTCGAGGGCTGATACAGGATGTGATGTGGAAAAGGGTATGTTTTATTATATTTATTACATACTTTAATAAAATACAGTTGAGAAAAAAGTAATAAATAATCATGCATGGACTTCTTACATACATGTACATAGTCTATGTCTCAAAATTTGGGTTTGTTTCTACTTCTATTATATTGCACTTGATCGTATTGAAAATATACTATAGTATTACATGTATTTGTAAATTAAGATTATCCTTATTTTCAAAAAGTTAAAATTAAAAGAGAATTCAACGCACCAAAAATTGTGTATGATCACAATATATATAATTTACTATAGGGTGTGATATTGACGTCACAATAGCCGTATTTTCCCTGCAGGGTGATATGGATTTGCAAATGATACGGATATCAGCCCCGCAAATCCATATCAGCCCTGCAGGGCTGATATGGCTATTGTGACGTCAGCCATATCGCATATGCAAAAAACCTGTATTTATTACTAAGTGTGTAATAAATATGTATATACTACTGTAAAATGACATATTTTCATGGGGTCAAATTTTTGAGGAAAAACAGATTGATTTCACGTAGTGATGTATATTATATATTTCTTTTCGTTGTGGGAATGAATTCGTGGGTCCCTTTATACCTCGAAAACAACGAAAATTAAATCAATGAAAATAAATGATTTTACAGTATCTATTCGCAAAAAAAAATTGAAAGAAATCTAATCCCAACCCTGAGAGGTGTGCAAAAGCATAATATCTTACAATAGTCCGAGATATATGACCTTTCCAGGCTTTTTTCATGATTTTGAAATTTTACGTGCCCAGTTTTCCCAGTTTTCGAAATGGCGCCGGTTCTGGCGTTTCCTTGGCATGTAAAATATCAAAATCGTAAGAAAACCTGGAAAACGTAAGATATTTTGGACTAATCTTACAATTAACGTTAGTTTTATTCAGAAGTCTTTCAATTGAATCTTGAATAATTTTTAAGAATTTGGTCCAAAATGGACGCTATCAGCGATCTACTTGAAGATATAGTGAAGGAGTGTGGCGGATTTGGGAAGTTTCAATGGATTTTGATTCTCATCCTGTTCGGAACCAAGATCACGGTCACGTGGAGCATGCTCATGATGACGTTTGGTGGAGCCACGCCCGACTGGTGGTGTAATGTTTCCAAGATGAAGTCATCATATAACTTGACATCATGGACGAACTCTTCAGCCTCAGAGCTGTTCAAGAAATGTCATCCCCCGGCTAATATGACGGGTTCATGTGATTCTATGAGTTTTTCATCTGAAATGAATACTGTTGTCAGCGAGGTAAGACAAATTGCAAAATGTGCATGTACAAATAATGTTATTTAGAATACAATTTTTAAGGCGTATAGGGAAAAGGGGATGGATGGCTCTTGCTTTATTCTCATGTCCTTTATTTTATTGCTCCTTAGCTTATCATAAAATTCAATGGAAGATTTTTCGATGGACATATTTCAGTTTGAACTGGTGTGTGACAACGATTGGATTACGTCATTTACCACAACAATACAAATGGCGGGTCTACTGATCAGTTCTCCAATTGCGGGGCAAATGGCGGATTCTATCGGACGAAAACCCACCTTCTTCCTCTCCCTTCTCGCACTTACCGTCTTTAACCTTGGTGCGGGGTTTTCCGTGTGCTGGGAAATGTTTACTGTTTTCAGATTTTTGATCGGGTTCGGCTGCGGGATGTATCTGACGACATTTTACAGTTTTATAACCGAATTTGTACCCATGAGGTGGCGCTCTATGATTTCCGCTATTCCTGCATGGGCGACCTTTGCCGCCTTTTATGGACTGTTTTCTTGGTGGTTGCACGACTGGGCGTATCTTCACTTCGCAACAGCGATTGTCACGGCACCATTTCTCTTGGGGATTTTGTAAGTTTGAAAGAAAATTAACCTGGTCATTTTACCAGAATTTAAATCTTAGCGCTGTGGCAACGCACTTTGGGACAAAATCAACGCACTTTGAAAAATTTTTTCTAAGTGCGTTAACAGGTACATCAACATGTTTTACCATGGGAAAATTTAACGCACTTTGTAAAAAATATGTATTAAACAAAAACTCTAGACTTCAGTTTAAGTAATTAAGAGAATTAATTTGTTAATCATATATAATCGAAAAACTTTATAATCAACATGTATTGATTTAACCTAAATGATAACAAGGAGAAAACAAGTAGGTCTCTCAGTCTAATTTTATATAGATAGCTGTGGGTAGCAAATTGAACGTGCCCCCCCCCCCCCACGAAGGTAAGCCCCAATTTTCATTGTCTATATTATGTTCACTATATATTTGTAAAACATCTGTGTGCCTAAGCCCCCTCCCTTTACCGATGCCTATGCTAAACCCAAATGTATTTGCAAAACTAGTATGACGTTGAAACTTTCGATAAATTTTAGTTTACTGTTAATGCATGCAAACTAGAAAAAAAATTAAGTACAATAAAACATAGGCATCGGAAGCAAATTGAAAGTGGGGGGCTTATTGAAAGGGGGGAGGTAAACCCCATTTTCAAAGCGTATATAATGTGCCCCCGGTTCCGACGCCTATGGGAAAACGTTTAAGTGAGAACGAATTTTCAAGTATGGAAAAATAAAAATCGCTCATGTTCACATCCTGAAGTGACTTTATCACCGAAAATTTATCAGTCAGGTTCAATTATTTATCATTTGCATGAATATCAACCATACACACTTTTTCAAGGTGTGTTAATACTCGTATGTTTGATATTAACGCACTTTGAAAAGAAATTTTTTTTCAAAGTGCGTTGATTTGGTCCCAAATTTAACGCACTTGAAAAAAAAATTTCAAAGTGCGTAATTTTTCAAAGTGTGTTGTAACATAGCGCCTTAAATGCTTCCGCTGATTTTACCGATCAGAAAAATAAAATGGCATTGTTGTGAAAATGAATACATGTAAGAAATGCTTTAACTCTTTACAACTTACTGATCTGTGACACAACATATACTTAATGTTCACGTCATAGAAATATGAAGTTACCATTTCCCCGCAAGCACTTTATTGCGGTGTATATGTTTCTCTAAAGTTTAGTGTAAATAATATTATGAAGTAATATTTTAATGATGAAATAACTTTTCTTATTTTAATAGATTTAAGAAAGTATGAAATAGAACTAATTTGGCCATAAATTGAAGATTAAATGAGATTTTTAAAGTGCGTGAATATGCGTGATTTCGGGGAAACAGTATATATGCGTGATTTTGCGTTAGAACTAGGAAATGGTATTTGCGTTAAAATGCGTGACTGCGGGGAAGGGGGTTAATTAAGTTAAAACTTATTACTCCTTTAATACCGTCTTGTTCAAAGGTAAATTATCGTTTTGTACAACCAAAGCACTTGTACAATCTTATATCTTTGTCTCCCGAGGCAACTCCTTCTACAATGGCTGTTAATTATCAAATAAGTATTTTTCTTTGAGCTAAGCGTACACATGCAGTTTGTTTTTTAAATAGTATCATGCTTTTTTTAAATTTCTTTTTTATAACATACAGATAAAATATTTTTTAGCATAATCCCAGAAAGTTTCCGATGGTCTTTGGCAAATAACAAATTTATGGAAGCAGAAAATGCCATTAAACGTATAGCTAGCATTAACAGCCGGGAAACTCCGAAAGCATGTATAAAAAGACTTTACGATATCACTGAAGAAGAGAAAGGCCAAAACAAACATAAAAACCACACTGTGATTGATATTCTCAAAAACAGGAGACTGCTAAAGAATTCTTTTCTTTTATGGACAAGCTGGTAAGTAAATTTACTTACTAAATGCACTGTATACGGGTATATGTAACTATCTTTATCAAAGGAGAATGAATCCAATTCGTACCAACAACTTTTTAAGCTGCAGCACTGTAGCTCTTCGAAAAAAAAATAAATATGACAGACCGGAGAGCTACAGTGCCACCCACTGTAAAAACTGCATATTTATTGCGCACAAAAAAGTGCGCTGATTCTCGATTTACTTCTCCAAGTTTTAAAAACTGTCTTATCATTTCTTTTCATTCTTATCATTTCAAAACTTTCATTGTTTCCACAACCAAGTATTCCTTGTAATTGTTTTACTAGCCCTTCTGGCCCTGAAATTGAAATCATCGAACATTTCGCCTATATTTATACTGCCATTTTGATTTGCAAGATAATTCGTTCCAAGGCGCTTCGTACAGTGTCAACAACGAGGGTACTTGATAGAGGAGTAAGGACGTTTTTGAAATCTAGCGTTTTGGCAATAGAAGTAAGAATTTTGGGGAATAAATCCAGAACCGGAGCGCACTTTTTTGTGCGCAATAAATATACATTTTTTTTTCAATTGGATGGCACCGTAGTCTCCGGTCTGTCAATACACATTTGTTTTCGGAAAGCCACAGTTCTGCAGTTACAATTTCTTCGCATGTTTTTAGAGCATCCAAATATTTTTTTTTTGGGGGGGGGGGGGGGATTAAATAGGTCTTAATTTTTGTACTTATAAGGGAAACAAATATAAACCTTTTACGATACCGTCCCTACCACCTTAATGAAACTTTCGAATCATATTGAGATGCATGATATGAAAATTGTTGAACAACATGTACGCGTCTATACTCGTAACGGTAACATGCAAATTAAGAACATGTTTAATTTGAAACCCTTGGTTTTTTATGCATTATATATTCATAGGTGTTCATCCGTAGAGATTTGTATCTGCTTCTGATGAACTGAATAAGGAAATTTTCCAAGCTTAAGTTAGGACCGTTTATCAATAGTACCAGAAGACTAATATTTACATGTGTAGTTTTTGAATTCAATTTTTTCAGGGTAGCCTGTGGGTATGCCTACTATGCCATTTCTTTCGGAGTGGAGCAGCTTTCCGGAAGTCTGTATCTCAACATGTTTCTCCTCAGTGTCGTAGAAATTCCCGCCACTTTAATCACGTGGTTTTTGAACAATTGGTAAAGCGTTTTATGTCATTGCGGTTAAATATAGATATTTTGCATTGTATTGCACGATAACAAAATGAAAAAAGCAACGTAGCTAGGATTTTTGGTTGTCGCTAGTATTCAAAATTATATATTGTAGAAATGATACATTGCAATATGCAATAATCATATATTGCAACAATTATTTATTGCAGTTATATATTTCAGCATTGGAAGGCGTTGGACTTGTTTCCTGTTTTTCATGATTGCAGCAGTGGGCGGGGCATCTGTCGGAACAGTGCAAATTATAGGTTAGAAACTGCATATACATATTTGCTTAGGTCTAAGGTTACTGTAAGAATTTATTCAAATCAGTGTTCTTTTTGAGATAACATCAGCGATTATAACAATAGACATTTACCAATTCCATACCCGTGAAGTGGTTTGCGGAAGAAAATAAAAAAATCGAACTAGGGAACAGGACTACTTTCATATAAACTAATGGTGTGATTATAATTATTCATTTCCTCTGTAGATCCGCCACAGGCTGGAGAGATTATTAATATCGCCGCCCTCATTTCTAAAATGGGCGTGTCCGCCGGATGGGCGGCGCTTATAATCTTCACCACGGAAAGTTACCCGACAGTAGTTAGGTACATTCCTTAATTAAACATAAAAAATAAATATACAGCAAATAATGATCTAAGCATTCAAAAGCAAAAAAAAAAAAAGGATACCAATAGCTTATTAGTCTTCAAAGAAGTGTAAAAAATATTTCCAGAGACACGATTCGGCTTTAATTTCATCTTTTTCAGAAATATTGGTTATGGGATGGCGAATTCATCCGCCAGGATTGGCGCAATGATTGCTCCCCAAATAGTCCACATTGTGAGTACTACAAATTTATTCAGATTTAAATTTGAATGATTTGCTATCAGCATTAATTGTAGATTTCAGACAACATTATTTTAGGTTCCGAAATTTCTTGGAGCTATTTTTTAATGGCTATTACATTTTTAAAGCCTTCTAGCATCGGATCAAGTGTGTTTTTGTAAAAAAAAAAATAATGCTTTGTTAAAAAAAAGTCGTTTTCTTTTTTTTTCAGAGTAAACATATTCCTGGAGTGATGTACTATATTTGTGGCGGATGCATGTTGATATCTGCGGTGTTCTGTGTCCTACTTCCGGAGACGAAAGGAAAGGCGCTAGAGAATGTTATTCCCCAGAAGACCAAAAAGACAGAACATAAAAAACAAAACGAAGACATAACAATCTTAGCATATGAATTAAAACAAAAAGAGAAATATTAAAAGAAGTGTTATTTCATATAATCAAGTATTCTTAAATACATGTATATCCTTTCTCAGGTCAAATTAAATGTTTATCCTTTATAGACCTATCGATATTTTAATTACTGTAAGCTTTCAAAAATACATTACTTACACGTAATTTAAGTTTCTATATGTAGTAAAGCACATAAAATATACTACATTTATATCTAATACACGTATGTGGCTATATATTAAATTGAAAAATAACTGCATTTTTTTTTCTTGAAGTAAGTTACATGTATCCGTTATCATCCAATATCATGGCATGTACTGGCTTTTTTTCTCCAGGGACCAAATGCATCACTGCCTTGCACTGGCAGAATTAGAGCCCCACACCCCCCTCCCCCGAGTGTCTAAAAAATACATCAGTTAATATTTTTGTTGTGGCAATCCCATCCCCCCCTTTTCAAGATTTCTGCCATGTGCACATTTAAGAATGGAACTGTGACTGGTGAAGAGTTATGTAATTATAAAAGGGTTGTGATAGACAATTAGGCTGTATATGGTGTAAACTTCAGAGAGAGCATCACAGTTCGCAGCATCCTCTCGTAAAAAGTGCAGCATTCGATATCGTCACTTCCTTTTCACACGAAAAAATACTTCTCCCCTCCCTTTCCATTATATATCAACCTGCTACCAAATCCCCTCAACTCCATTGTGAGGGGATACAAATCACAAATATAGTAATAAGACTTTTAAATTATGTGAACTGTATGGAATGTTTGCTTTTGGGGGATCGATTTTCAGAAATTCACAGGGCTAAAAAAGGCAATTAGTGAATCTTGTTCTTTTTACATAGTTAACATCATGATGATAAATTTATACATTTGTTAGTGTAAACAATTATCATTATTTTTTATGAAATGTCTAACAAGCTTCAGGGTTGAAAATCAAATATGGGTAAGTTCCTGTCCCAATCTAATTAAAATTAGATCTTTGATCCGCTCCAGTTTGAAAGGGATCAAACAGATTGGGTCCTGTCTAAAAGCTCCTGACAGTGTGCTTTCATAATATTGACTTTCCTCATTTGTCTAGTATCACTCGTTTTAAGGAGAAGTTCTTTCTTCCATAAAATCTCCCGAATTTCTTTGATATATCTTTCATAATCCGCTGATAAATGCGAAGTTTCATAACAGTACTTCAAATCAAGTGTTTACCACATTGCCTAACAACTGAGGAATTAATGTTGTTTGATAACATGCAAAGTGCAAAGCGTTCATTTTATCATTTGATCTTTCATAAATAATTTAATCTTTTTATTTCTTGATTAAGAATGCTAATTATTAGATGAGAAAAACAGTATTATTTTACATATTTAAGACGATTTAGGTTGATTTCAAATTGTGCATTTTGAACTGAATAATACATTTAATTCCTCATTTCTCACTGAAAATGGATATGTCGAGTACATGTAGTACAATTCCTCTATAAACACGATTCAGTAACAACAGTGTACATGTGTGAATGGGTCAGTATTCGGATTTCCGGTGCAGAGGTTGTTTTGGCAGGATAGGGGGAAGGGGGGGGGGGGGTAGATTTTGTATGACGTCATATTATGTTGTACATTAAGGTGCCTGGTATGAATATTAACAATACTTTAATGACATAAAAAGGTAAATTAAAGGGGAAATGCAATAAGTCTGTCGATGAAAATGTAAAGATTAAATAAAAACCAAACAGTGCTCTACAGCGTCACCCCACCCCAGGGTTGACTTATTGAAATACATGGCCAACCAAAGAAGTGGCGCAATTTTTTACATACATTGTAATCAAAGAAAATTAATAAAAATATTGATCAATTTGGAAAGCAGAAAAGGCGCATCACAGTGTATGTCCTTGTTAAAACCAGATCTGGAGACCAGAAACTGATAACACACTTTAAGTCAAAATTTTGATTTTTAATTTCTTGAGTTCTGCTTGACGTATCTGCTTTAAAATTTGCGATTCTCTGTGACACTTAAATTCAAATATTTGGTGTAAATTTTGTCTCGTTATCAAAATTATACTGGTTTTAAATTTTGACTTCTTAGTTCTCAGTTTACGGTCTTGAGACCAGGGACATATGTTAGTACATATAGGTCCCTATTTAAACTTTTAAACTTTCAAAAGGCAATTCACAATGACGTAAATTCCATCTTAGTCAAGGGTCTACATGCTGTTTCCGACGAATATATAGATGAATGATCGAACTTTTTTTTGAACAACATACAATAAATGTAAACTACAGGTACTGTGAGCAATGAGCTCACTAAATGATACCCCCCGCCTCCCATAATGTCCACGTTTTGCTATATATTGTTTTACGGTAATGTGTAAAGTGGAATAACTCGTCCTATCAAATGTTATCCATAAGCTTCTATATGTGACGTCATAGGTGAACATCTAATGGCAATGTCCATGTTTTGCTATGGGAAACCTAAAATACGTGTCGAATAAAAAAGTAAAATAGGAGGTGCACAATGGCAATATGTAATAAAGATTCTGCGAAAGTTTCATTAAATTTCACTCAGTAGTATAAGAGGAGTTGCGGATAAGAGATAAAGCGTAACAGACGGACGGACGTACAGACGGACGGAAATACCGATTACTATATACCCTCCCACTTTTCAAGCGGGGGGTATAACAAGAGCATGGAACATGACATGGATTCCTTTTCTGAATAAAAGACGGATAACTCTCAAGCACTGGTTTATCATGAATACTGTCTTTCCTGATATACTTTATTTTATCAAATAAAATATACAACATGACTATCTTACTATTCATTTGAATAATTTTCTTTTATTATAGTAATTTTTAGGTTTATTGTACATATGTTTAGAAAAATCTTTTTACAAACTTTTTTCACATTTTTGTTGTTGTTCATGTTTTCAGTATTGTACATTTGATAAAACTTTTTATTAGTAGAAATTTGAGCTTTCGGGGACGAAAGTAATTGGAGCAAGGGGGAAGATAGTCATGTTGTATATTTTATTTGATAAAATAAAGTATATCAGGAAAGACAGTTATGATTAATGACTATGTATGTGTATCGGTATATGTGTCCTTATTAGGTAATAACATAGTGTAGGTGTAGAATAATGAAGTAGTAATGTAGTTTTTCTTGTTTAAGTAATAGTTTTTTTTATTAATTTTTTTTGTATCTAGTACATCAGTATTTCATGTATTTTCAGGTTTATATGAAGTTCAGTATATAAGATCTATATAAAATATTTTTGTTTTGCATTTACGTTCATAAATTGATGCATTAATTCAGTTTGCCAAAAATGTCAAGACAAATAATTAAATCTGGTCAATTTACTTATAAAAACTCCATCTGTTAGATATGTTTTGTAACAAAGGCACAAAAATGTACTATGATGTAATTTGTTATTCAGAGGGTCAAGCAAATTTGCAGATAGGTGTTACGTTGTTTGCAATTGTCCTTTAGGGTTTCCTTTCATCTTTTTTTACCTAGTGTCAAAGTCAAGATATACTCAGGTGTCAGTAGATTTTTCTTTGTTAGGGGATTACCCGTGTTAGAGTCAATTAATGGATAATGGTCAGTGTCCGGAGATCACGGTCACGTGATCTATTTAATAGCGATTTCAATTAACGAAACTATTTGAGAACAAAGAAACTAAATTTTGATTGGCCGAAATTGACCAGGGAAGCCCGGGTCTCCGATTTAGATTGCGTACCCTTTTTCGGTCATTCTTATCGGAGACCTGAATAAAGCAGTATATTTTACTTAGCACTTCCCTGTGTCTAATTTCAGGTAAAATGGTTTATATATCTTTTTCTTTTTTTTCTTTTAAAAATTAATTGCAAGTTATTATTCTGTTTTGTAAAAGTTACTTAAACCATTTAATTTTGTTTTATGGAAATTTGAGCTTTCATTTAAAGTAAAATTCGGTTTTAAATAATTAATTACACAAAACCCAGTTATGCAGTTTTAAGGTTTTTATTGTTTAAACTTTTTATAAAACTAGTTCTCAGGCAATATCCACTATTATTCATGGATTAATATTATTTGTTTCAATTATTTTTGTTAAAATCAGCAAAGTTCGGAAATAATTTGTTCAGTTTAGGTTTTGGGTTTTACTGTTTATTAAACTGGTTTTCACTTTTCACAATGTTGAACAAACAAACCATGCGGCGAGTATCTTTTATATTGTAAGTTTTTACGAAGTATTTCTTTGATTGATCAAGTTGTAGGAATGGTTAGATAAAATAATGATGTTTATAATTCTTCTTATTTTGGTTTAAAGTTATTTATATTGATAATGTTAACTTAAACTTGTTTACATTTTGTCAGTTCGAATTTCCTTAGCCAATGTTTACCTTCACTACTTATTTAGTTAAATGACTTTGTTTCGATTTGTTTTTAAATAGAGTGAGTATTTTTATATTGTTTAATCACTCTATTAGTCACCAGAGTTAAGTAAGTTAGGGCACCAACCTTTGTAATGCGTTATGCAGATAGAAATGATTTTTATTGTACCTGGTGACTATATATTTTGTTCATTCTTATCGGAGACCTGAATAAAGCAGTATATTTTACTTAGCACTTCCCTGTGTCTAATTTCAGAGTAATCGTCCCAAACCTATTTGGACTGGACATTACGTCATTAAGGGTCCTCTACACTGCCAGCGAGTCAAGTTCCCCAACTATTCAAATCGTACAAAAACACGACACGATAATACTTTAAAAAAATGGGTAACACTAAAATACGCCTGCCGACGCCTGCCAGTAGAAAATACGCCTGCCGAGGAAATCTATACGCCTGCCGTTTTATTTTTTGTCTAAAGTTAAATTTTATTATATATATTATTTTAATAGACTATTTACTTAATGTTTCACCAAACAAAAATAATTAAAAAGGCACACATTTGGAGTTTTATTTGTTTTATATTTTGCATGCGTCGTAGAGCACGCCGGCCGAGAAAATCTACACGCCCGCGGTGTTTTATGTTTCTTTTATTATGTACTGTTTAAAAATATTTTTACTTAAGTTAAGTATTTGGCTTTCATTTAATTACAAACAAATCAAAAATGAACGGAATATTTGATTTAATAAAAATTTATACATGAGTTTGGAAGTAATATAAAAGGAGGTAACTCGTACTTCACAATAATCTATATGCCTTATACCAGCATTTTCTGTTCGTCTAATAAGATTTACTTCTATAAACAATGTAGCTGTTGTAAATAATACAAATAAATTAAAATATAACGTTATAGATATATATTCATTTTATTTTGAAAATTACCTAGGTATGTCCAAGAGCACACCTGCCTAGAGAAACAATATGCCTGCAATGTTTACCTTTATAGATAATACATCGATACACATAGAGTTAATATTTGATAAATACTGAACATGAAAAATAGGAAATGTTTTATTCCTTTGAAAATCTACACCAGAGTATAATTATAGTAATATCAAATTTAAAAGAGATAACTTTTAATTGGTCACGATTAAACGAGAGGAACTGAAATATTCATTCCATATTTACTACATCTATACATGTACCAGCGTATATGGGAAAAAATAATAGCAATCTGCATTGCATCTCGCAAACACAATGAATATTTTCGATTTTTATCTAATATTATGCATATCAGACCTAATATTCTCACACATCACAGTTTTACAATTAGTTCTCTCTTAAAGCTTGGTTGGTTTAAATTAGTCTTTAAACATCTAGATATGATATCTTGATGTGAATTATAGTTTGTAAATTATACGTGTAGAATTTCTTTTCATGCTTCTAGTTCTCGTTCCCACCTCCTCCCCCCAAAAAGGAAGAAAGTCGAATCATAAACAACAAAAATTTCGGTAACCTTTTATGAAGATACATGTACATGTATATGTATATTGATTCAAGATACAGATTGTGTAACCATTATAACAATTTCTACACTACCAATCGGAAAAGAAGGAAGAAGAAAAAAAAAATATTTGTGAGTCTGGTGTGTTTCATAGTTTGTATAAATGTACGTCAATTAGTTGTTTTTTTTTCATTGCATCTATATAATATTATTAATTATCTTTTTCGTTACTGGATTTTATACAATTCTCAGGTCAAATTTTTAAAATGCAACATTCGAATGCAAATCGACGAACTTTTCAACAGCATAATATAAACAGGCATTTGTATTAAATTCGAAATTTTCTCCATCGATGCACGTTTTCTTAAAATTCATTTATTTAATAACCAGATAATATATGTAAAATTTACTAATTATGATTTTATGGTTCATGATATCCAACCATGGAGTGTGTATAGCGCACGTGTTACTGTGAATCTTCTCAGTTCGTCAGTACCTAATTATGTAATACCACATAATATTACGCACTGGTCAGGTAAACAGGAAGATCGACTGAGATTTGAAGTCTGTGTATACACAGTAAACATAATTTCAGACATTCGTATCAGTGTAGACAAATTTTCACAATTTTGATAGATCAATAACTTATAGCGTGAATATGTAGAACTTTCGGGGAATTAATCTTTCTCTAATTGAAATAAATAAATAAAATGGATTCCGAGTTCTTTGCATAGACGAAACTTTGAAATGTAAATATGAAAAATAACGTATTTATATTTTGAAAATTAGTAACTTTTTAAAAGTTTTTGTTTATTTCCACGACAGACATCGCTCAAATGTTGCATGCATAGTATAAACACAACATGCTTTCAGTAAAATTTACTGTACAAACTGTTCTTTGACGTTACATAATTATATCTGAAAAAAAAAATAAAACCCCATACCGAATCAATTGGTGTGGGTTTCAAGTTTTATTATTTTTTTTTTCAAGAAAAGTGTCGAAAATCAACATGATCAAGTGCCTGGGTTATTATGTTTCTGTAGAATTTGATTTACCGTATCTTTCCTTTCTCTACATGAATGAAAAGGTATGATGTGAACGTAAAAGTATAAGCGATATTTTGTATACATGACATGATCAAATAGACAAATACATACATGTACATGCTGATTTTCTTACTCATTCCGTTTATTTCCTTCTCTGCTTGACGTATACATGGATTTGTAGGAATAGCTTAATTATATACCCTTTCTCTTACCTGTAACATTTTGTATTTACTTTTATAACTTTGTTGCATATATAACCTGAAATAATAATTCAATTGATGTTTTAAAAAGTTCAATAGACATTCATTTGGGATATTTCAGTTTCTGATTCAAAATAACTACCCGTAAAACGCAAAGTTTTTACTGCATGTGTGTTCCTGAGCCTCTGTAAATTCTATAACAAATACGAAATCAAATACTTAAAACTTTATGTAAAGAAAGAAAGAAAGAAAAACGTGTCTTCACACAGCAGTTCTAATTGTCAAGTAAGAGTTATCTCCTTTAATACTACAAATTCTTGTATCACACACTAAACGAATAAATTATTTAAAATATTTTTTGGATTAATTTTTGGTGAAATATTAAGCAACTACTTTATGAAAGTATTATATCAAATATTGTAATATGATATAAGAGAAACAACACCGCGGGCGTTAGATTTTCTCGGCTGGCGTTTTCCACGCCGTTAATGCAAACTTTAAAACATCAACTACAAGGTCTGTAAAAATAATATATCAAACAAAAAACAAATTAATTCAATAAATAAAACGGCAGGCGTATGGATTTTCTCGGCAGGCGTATTTTCTCCTGGCAGGCGTCGGCAGGCGTATTTTAGTATGACCGTTAAAAAAATGTTTAAATTAAGTTCTCTTAAAGTAAAATAATTACAATTGAAAACTCAGTTTTGAATAACAATTTTCTCCAAATAAATTGGGTAGAGAGAGAGGGGGAGGGGGAGGGGGGAGAGAGACTTGGAAAATTGTAATTATTTAAAAAGAAAAAAGTACAATAAGTTGTTATTTGAATTATTTGATTTTTCTTGCATAACAAAAAAAAGCAGTTATAAATATATAAAATTTTATAATAAAAATAAAGATAACATAATTAATTTATGGCCATTTTTTTTATGAAAATCTCTTATTTTCTATAAATCTTTGTATCATATCGTAGCCTCGCTCTGGTTGGTCATACGGTAGTATATGTCCAGCATTCCGTACAATCACCTGTAATTAAAAATAGAAATATACGAGTGTATTGAAAAGAGATATTTTACATGGAATCAATCCTCAATATTCATGTACTCTTAATCCACATTTATTTAGCTTAAACTTTCTAGAAAGAAGAAAAACTTCAAGATATTTAAAGGTTTGGGAAAGGGAGGTGTAAAGAATACATAGATTTATTTGTTGACTTTGTTGATTTGTTGACTTGTTTGTTTGTTGTTTACTGGCCTCCTGAATAATTTTCACTCCTATGGGTGCAAAGTGTTCCAATATCACTTCCCAACACATATCCTTCCTCTACATATGGTTATGTTCAAAATTGAACTTTTACTTTACTTAATGAGAAGCTAGAAAATAAATTTTTGTTTGCCCTCTCACAACTCAAGATGAAAATATATGTACATGTCTTGGATCAGTAGGTTGGTAACAAAATAAGTTTTCACAGAGAATTTCAAAATCAATGCCTAATTTTCAAAATCTTTTTACTGAAAGCATATAAGACAATTGCTTCCAGGAGGTTAAAAAAAAGTTTTGAATTAAATTTTTCAAGCCAGTCAATCAGCAGAGGGCAACCAACTACTTTTTTTTTTTAAAATGGCCTTACCTGATAGAGGGCAATTTTTTAAAGATGGCCTTACCTGATAGAGGGCAATTTTTTTAAGATGGCCTTACCCGGAAGAGGGTAATTTTATAAAATATGGCCTTACCTGGAAGAGGGCAATTTTTTTTAAAATATGGCCTTACCTGATAGAGGGCAATTTTTTAAATAGAGAGCAAATTTTAAAATAGAGGGCAATTTTTTAAAGATGGTCTTACCTGGTAGAAGTTCTTGACCTGCCTGACGTAACCTGCCACCTCTTTGTCGTCGGGATTTATCCTCCAGATTAACCTGTCTGTGGTCCTGTACATGTCCTTTCCTGACCAATCAATGGATAGCAGGAAGAACTCCGTCATCGGTACAGGAATTATGATATCCAACTGACCGTTGTAGAACATAACCTGATTAAACAAGTGAAACCTGTATTATTTGACATGTTCTGAGAGACAATTTTTGTGCCAGAATAGATTGCACAGTGTAAAAAACATAAGTAAAAATGTTCTGTAAAATTGAAAAGACATTTCACCTCAGAATTCAAAAATTGAACAGGTGTCAGTATAGACAGTTTTCAGTGTTAAACTTAATTTTAAAAATTTAATAAATTTAGCATGCCAGATGATAATGAGTAAATATGTTTAAGTGTAATTTAATGCATTTTCAAAATGTATAATATTCAATTAAGCCGACAACCTGGAATTTGGTCCCCTAAACCAGGGACCATAAACAAAAAATATGGAAAAAAATTGGGTCATCCATGAAATCTCTCAGATTTCTTAGAAAATCACAAATAGAAGCTTAACCTTATAATTTTCCATGATGGGTATGATCCACGGTTTGACAGTATCCATGACGTCGTTGATGAGGTGCATTTCTACCTGTGTACCGCTGTTATAGGTCAGGTTACCCACGTGGATTGCTGCCCGTACCTCAGGCTTGGCCACGTAATTTCCGTAATAATTAAACTCTTCTGGCTCCTTAAACAAGACAATTGATCAATTTGTACTTACACACTGAAACAAGGGGTGAACATGGAAATGCACTGCTCAAGAGATTTTAAATTTATTTCACAACCATAAAAATAAAAGGAAATTATTTGATTTCGCAAATGATGTTTCTCGTGAAATTAAGCGATAATTAATTCCTCTCTGATATTCAAGAATCTACAGTATCTGAGGAACACAGACCTCTCTTCAATCAGAAAAACTCACTTCACCATCATAACTCTTAATGTTTTGAAACATAAAATTCTTAAGTTTACATGTGCATTTTATGGCATTTTGTCAAATTTTGAATTGCTTATAGTGTGATAAAATAATGTTCCATTCAATTAACAGAAATAATGTTGGTTAATTTCAACAAGTAAAAACATAAAATCAAGGTCAATTTGATTATAACAAAGGGGGAAAAGAAATTGCATAGTTACCTCAGTCAGTAAAAAGTTGTAGTAATTATGAATGTTAGAAACATTGTAAAAGTATGGCGCATTTGGAGTTAGATCACCATTCAAAAGCGTGTCAAATATCTATAAATAGAAAAGAAAGCAACATTCATTGTAAGTAAGTCGATCTTACCTGTGTGCGCAAAAAATTAAAATTATCAGCGATATTCGTAACGTTGTAAAAATATGTTGTGTCACCCAAGATAAGTTGCCCAAAGATCTAAAAGTTGAAAAATGCAAAATTTTAAACAACTATGACATTGATTCAGGAAATGATTTTTAAAGTATCAGTACAAACTAGGTGTGTTTGTGAAATAATGATGCCTCTATAATGCTGCTAAAATTTTCACTGGTTGCATCATAAAATAATGTTTCTATGTTCTGACATTTTTTGAAATGCATTGGTGTTTTACAAACACATCTAATTTTTTCTTACTATGTTGACATACATCAAAGGCTGCTTTAAAATTCTTTCCCCTGATGTAAATGGTAGCTTTATCCGTCATGCCTTGGAAGTAAGCCCTTTGTTTTTCATCCAGTAATCCAATACTGTACATAAAAGTGGCATATTGACCCATCATCTGTTAAAAAGGTAAATGAACTTTACTTGCATGTTTTAATACATTTTTACAATGGACAAGCTTTAATCGAAAATATTTTTGAAAAAAACAGTTTTGAAAAAGGATAAGAATATTATACATGTCTTACATGAGTTGAAATTGACAGCGCTAGCTGTACTGGTAAATATTTTTTTAAAATTAGACCTACAATATTGCTTAAGACTAATATAGACATGTACATGTATCATTGTTATAAATGCATTTCTCAAAGAAAATCTTATATTTAAAATTAAGCATATCTTTTTTTTCATTGCTTGAAAGGTTAACATATCATAATGTTGAACTGAAATGTCCAGAATAGTAGAAAAGGCTCTACAGAGATGTGAGCATTAATTTATAAAACATTTAACTCAGCCATTGAAAATGACATCTAAAATTGTACTTCTGTCTAAGAAGCCAATAAAAATCTGCCATTTAAAGCTTTGTAGCCAATTGGAAAATGCCTTTAAAAGCTTTGAAGCCAATCAGAAAACAGGGAAACTTGTGTAATCAGGATGTTGTACTTTCCAAATTCTTGCCTAATATGATATAAATTTCAAGACATTTTATAACAAGTAATATCAATTATTTAATAAGTTTTTACTGTTTCAGAATGTCATTTACGACTATTTTAGCCAACAAGGATATGGAATTCATGGTAAGGGAGCCAATTAAAATGTGTCATTTTATGCTATGTTCCCAATAAGAATGTGTCATTCCAGGCTTTGTAGACAGCTGCCTAATGAGTAACTTCCTTATTAAATATCTTAGCTTTTTTTAACTCTTAATTCTTAGACATTAAGTGTTTACTTACTATATTATTTCAGGGTACCAGAGACCTACTTACTGTTTCTGGGTCACAGAGACCATCACCTATTGCCATGCCTTTGAAGTTGATTTTAGTCTTTGCCTGTGGATTTTCCATGTGAATCTTGTATGAAATGGCAGGGACATATTTACCAGCATAGGACTGAAAGTTAAAACATGGATCAACAAGAAAATCAAAATAGATTTACACATGTTGCAGAAAAAAATGGATACTTAGGAGGGAAAAAAAATAAAGATTGGAATTTCTGTAGTTGAAAATTTGCTATATAAAACAAACCAATAAATGACAGGTCTAATAGAAATTTTACTTTATTTGAAGAGGAGGGATGGCTTAGGCCATCCCTGACAAGCTAACTTAATCATTTGAAATTAATATGGGAGAGGGGCTTAAATTTTGGGGGTCTGGGTCCTATGTATCTTCATGGAAATGTGTCATTGAATTACCGGTATAAGATATGTTTATAGATAAAGCTTTCTAAATAAATGTACCTCTCCAGTGGCATAAAAGTCATTTTTCTGGAACTGGTGAAAGACTTGGAAAAACTGTGTCAGGCAGCTGTAAATAATACAAAATAAACAAGATAAACTCAGGTTTACCAAGTATAGTGAAATTTAAGTGCTGTCATTGCTTTGTATTGCAAAACCTTGCCCTGTACATCACTTAATGTTGTCAAATTCAGAATATTGTCTAATTGGGTTAATTTCTACTGTAGATTCCTAATTATAAATGAGGAATTATTTATCGCGTAATTTTGTGAGAAGCATCACTCACGAAATAAAATTACTCGCTTTTATTTTTATGTTGCTGAAATCCATGTAAATTCTATTGATCAAGCGTCCATTCGCGAACTATTATTCTCGTGATTTGATGTTAGAGAGCCGTCTCGCGATAATAAGTACTCGCGAAAAATAAGGAATCTACAGTATGTAAACAGTAGTGTCCAGATTATGTAGATTTTACTGTATATGTGTATCAGAGACATGTTAGTGCCTCTACTGGGGGGTAGAACTTAGGTCCTCTGAATTGCCAGTCCAGTGCTCTACCAACGGAGCTGAAGAAAACCACTAGCCCAAGCTAGTATGAAGTCATGTATCTGACATTACATGTAAAACATTGTCCCCCTCTAGAGAATGAGATGTCCTCAAATATAACAGAGACATTTTGGTGCCTCTACTTGGGATCTGCCCAGGGCCTCTCAGCCCTCTGGCTTGCCAGTCCAGTGTTCTACCAATTGAGCTAAAGGGTTAACCCACTAGCCCAAGTTTAAGTAGGAGGTACAGTAAAACTCAGTCACTGAGACCTATAAAACTACTTTGCTATATCCATAATTCGTTATATCCATATAAGGAATTCGTTAAATTCACATAGCTGGGGATCCAAGATAACTTCGCTATATCCGTGAATTCGCTATATCCGTGTTCGTACTAAATGAGTTTTACTATATCTGACTTTAGCACATATATTATACAATGTTATCAAAACAAATGACACAGATTCCACTCTATGTTTTGGTAAAATTACACTTTTTTAAGTATTTATATTAATAATATGTAATTCAAACTTAGCTTATTCAAGATTTTAAAAATACCTGTACAAATCTCTGGCAACATCCTGTTCGTTGGTAGCATATCCCTCATCTTTACCTGTAAAACTGAAGCCCGTCCCTACCTGTGAAATCAAAATGGAAGAGTACACTGAAATTGAACTCTACAAAATTGAGTTCTAAAGTTTCAAAGATCAACTCTCTCATACATCTTCATTGTTTTTTATAAATTTCTTTGGATTAAGAATTCCTTTCAATGATATATTGCTTCCAAATAATTAATATAGTTTAACTGTTTATTAATTCATTTATTATTTTCATGTATATTCTCGATTTATTCATTTACATGTATACATGTATGTGTGTGTGTGAGGGGGGAGGAGGTAATTCTAAATTTCAATGTTTGAATCACATATACATGTATCATAAGTATGTACATGAACTTGCTGTGATCTTGATACAATTCATAAACTTTAAGACAGTAATTAACACATAGCTTCAATAATGTAGCCCCTTTTCATTCTTCTTTTATTTGGGGGGGGGGGGGGGAGGTAAAGATATCAGATTGAAAAAACCCAGCTACTTAACACACAGACATACTCACTGGGTTGTCAATGTAGAGCATGGAGTACTTTGTGTTCCATGTCATTTTTCTGTTACTCACTGAAATATAAAACAATGTTCAAGATTAAAATGACAGATAAAATTCTGTGAGAGAAATGTATACTTTGTATAAGTAATAGGACATGTTTGCAATGTCTGCATCAACAATGTAAGTAAATTACAAAATGACTGTTAATGCATGGACTAAATTCCATAAGTACATAAAAACCCAGTCTCGTTTCAACTCATTTTTTTTGTTGACAGATTTCTGTTACAAATGCATTTCCCGTTAACTTAATGAAAAGGAGCATAAGGCGGGTGTGACCAATCGGCAGGGAATGCTCACTCCTCCGTGGCACCTGATCCCACCTCTGATGTTTTGGAGGTCTGTGTCTGCTTTGCTCCAATGTTGTATTGTTTTATGGACTTTTGAGCTCTAAAACTGTTAGCTCCACATATTTCATACACATTTATACCTACTGGTAACCCTCATTCATTTGGGTTTTCATATTACTACGTAACCACAGTTCAGACTCATAATTTATTATTGGTACAACAAAAAATACAATTTAATAATCAAACAATTAATGTTAATTCCATTAAATGACACTAACATTGAATAATATCGATTCATCCAGCGTAAACTCACACTTGATATCTTTGTCCACCATGATTGGACCGTTTTCAACGAACAACCCAAACAATGAGGAACCACCGGGGCCACCTTGTAACCAGAGAACCACTGGTGCTGTCTCTGGATTTGTCTGAAATCAGGCGTAATAAAGATCAGAACAAATACACTTTACAACTAAAGATCTGAGCTAAACCCTAGTCATGGAGTGTATAAGATATGAAAGGAAATTGTCATGATTTTCCGGATAATAATGGGGTGGTAAAAGTGCAATGCATGGTGGATAAAATTGAATTTTTTCTCAAACTAGTAAAAATTGTTTTGAATATGTTCTACAGCTGCAAATGACATAAAGATATGTTTTCTACATGTTGTACCACGGCTTCTTTTAGCATAGCCTACTCTGCAGAAACCATGGGCACTATCACGTGACCAAGATCCAGAGAATCAGCACAGGTTCATCTTGAGAGGCCTACATTTTCATTTTGATCTGAGCCATATTTATATATTATGGCACTGCTCTATAGAGCAATACAATAACAGTTGCAATTACAATTCCTTTTTTTAGTGGAGAAAAATGAGTATACAGTGGACCTTCAGATATCCGGATGCTTCAGTATCCGGACGATTTTTCATCGGAACGAAATTTTTAAATGTTATATTGTCTCGTTTAACTGGTGATTCAGATATCCGGATGCTTCACATATCCGGACAAATTGACTGGGAACCAAAGCGTCCGGATAAATGAGGGTCCACTGTATTTTTAAAATGTACTTAATAAAATAAATAAACTTCGCAGACAAATAAAAGTTGGTTTACAGTACAGTAATTGTTCTCCCACTATTGTAGTATGTCTAAATCTTAATTAATACTCATCTATCACTTTGTCTAGCTGTCTGTCCATTACATGCCTTTTCATTACATTTCAAGTGATCATTACCTGAGCAGGGAAAAACCAGAAGAACATGTTGCTATTGGTGGTTTTGTTTACGGTGAAAAATCCTGCAAAGCTCTCCAGATTTGTTCCATCTAACGGCCCCACTCTACTCAGCTTCTGAGCTGAAAGTACAAGAAGATGATATTGGCATGTTTTACAGTATTGTACACTGTCCTCTTTCCCCATACTGTTGGTTTAAGGTAATTAAGTTTGCGACTCCCTCCAAATTTATTTGTTTTCAATTGCACATATGTCATACATATCTTCATTTGGGAAGATATAAATATCTTCGTTTGGGAAGAATAGCTTTTTCTTTTAACAGGGTTTCAAAAAAATTATGCCCGCCCCATTTTTTTTTAGTAATAATTGCCAAATTAGAGGAATTTGTCATATTTTACATGTTTAATTTTTTTAATTTAAAAAATGATGTATTTTATAAAGTACCATACTATAAATCACTTTTTATTTGGAAGAACTTTATTTTCGCGTAGTTATGCGAGACAGTGTGATCACGAAAATGTAATTCTTGTGTATAATAGTATTCCTTAAGATTATAAAGAGCAATAACCACAATTTGCGAAAATTTTGTCTCCCTAACAAAGAGTCAATGACTATCTCACGAAAATAAGGTATCGCGAAAAATTTAGTGATCTACAGTATTAGAATAATTAAAATGAATTTATTATATTTTATACTTTAATTTATCTGAAATATTTAGTACCGTTATAGATCTATGCAGATCTAGACAGGCAAACCACAGGCACCTGACATTACTTTTTTTTTTTTTAATAAAAAAAAATACCCCTAACTTATAATTATTAGCATGATTAGTAACATCGTCTCAAGCCACGGTCCAGAGTCCACATATAGCTCTCTACCCGTGGCTGCTTCATCACAAAAAGTGTCGTACTCTTGAATATTTACGCCTCTCTATTGTGAAGTCATATTCAGTCAGTTGCAAGTTTTGTTTCCATCACAATCAAAATCAACAACTGACGTCAACAGTATTACTGCAATTGGATATCGAAAGGTCGCGATAAAGTTCATCTTCCGACTATGCTTTACTTGCATTGGTCAAAATTTTAATGAGCTACGAAGAATTATCTCCTCGTTGAACCACGGCCAGAATGGGAGAGGATCGTACATTTTGGCTGTGGTTTGCGACGATGGATTAGTAAGGGTATTTTTTTTATTAAAAGAAAAAAAGTAACCTCAGCTGCCTGTGAATTAAAACCATGTTATATTGAACTTGATTAAGATGTCTTTTAGACATCTATATTTGAGATATTCAGAGGAAAAGAAATAAGTAGTTGGGACATCTTAGTTACATTAAATTAATCAGTGATTAAATGCTGCATGTACTTAAGATGTTGGTGTGCATGATAACAAACATCATCTTTATACATATGCATACGCAAGCTGCCATCTTACCCATATCAAATTGTCCTTTCTCGACATATGGAGTCAGGAATAGTGGACTGCCGGGGTCTATTCCATTCTGTAGCATGGGAGGATATTTGTCTGGAAACACCCCCCTTAGTCCGCTCCTGGCTAGAATCTGTTGTGTCAGGCAGAGGAAGAAAACAGGGAGGGTATACCTGAATATTGACATCTTTCCTGAAATTCAAAAATATGCTCAACTATTTAACAAAGTTCTACATGCAACATATACTGTTAAATGTTATGTACATTGTACACCGTCACACTGGCAGATTTAGAAGAGGGCTCATCCCCCCATTTTGTGTCCAAAATATACATGATTTTTCTTAAATGTGTGTGTGTGTGTGTGTGTGGCTGTGGACACTACCCCGAACACCCCACCCTCTTTTTTCCCCCAAGACTCCTTGATCCGCCACTAAACTGTACCGATGTGTTCTTTGTGATAATAAAAATAATTATCCAAAAAATGCTATCAAGGCCATTAATACTTCTTATATATCTCTGATCCAATTGCCAAAAATATATACTTTAATCGAGACAAAATTTTCTGACTTTTACATTAAATGATTAAAAAAAATTAAATGAATTGGAAGAGAAAATTCGAGATGCTTGCGGTCCTCAAATTAAAAGATCAAAAATTGCCCTCATGTTACCTCTTTTAAATGTTTGATATGACCTGTTTGATTTGATTAAGTGCATGAATACAATCAGAATTACCTTCTTTTTATGCAATTAATTTCCTTGTCCGTTCTTCCCGGCACTGTTTGTTATTATAAGTGTCACATGATACTCACGTGTTTTGATGACTTTGCTAATTCATTCCTAGGCACATTCGATCTGTAATTTTTTTTTTTTTATTTGACAATTATACTGAATTTAAAACACACACATTCATGTAAGCGGGGACTGAAGTAATGTGAGAATGGACCAGAAAATATAAGGTATGAGTAATTAAACATGTAATTATTTAGCATTTTATCTGTAAATAATTTAAAAATCAATGCAATCTTGAGGGATCTTGCTCATTTCAAGTCATTCATACATGTATGACAAATAGTTTTCACGTGATAAAATTGACTTGATGGAGAACACGTGAAAAAAGCATATGACATTTTAATCTGTTGTTGATAATCTGAAAATAAGTCATGCCAAAATAAAGAAAGAAAGAAACCCTCTGATCCACATATATATTTCGATCCCCACTTTTAGAACCTTTTTATATACTGCATACATGTACGCATATTAGCCTCTTTTCAGTATTATTTCATAATTTATCATCAATTTTGCCAATTGATGATTTCTTTTTTTCTTTGGAAACAATCAAGATTTTTTTCTATCAGAATTTAAGAATTCTAAAATATTTACATGTAAAAGACTTTAAAACTCCATGTTTTATATATGTTTTTGCAAAGATATTGCAATATTTATAATCATTTTCTGTATTCTAACTTTTAACAATGCAGTTGTTTAACCAATAATAAATTAATCATTAGTTTTGGTTTTTGTGATGAATATATATGAATTACGTTAGAAAGAAGACAGTTTATTTGTTCCTGTCTCAAAATAAACGTTTACTTTGAATTTCAAAGTGCAAAAACTTGAGTTTTTTTTAAGGTATACACATGCAAGTACATACAAACTTTTTTTGTTAATTTGAAGTATGCGAGTCAAATCAAAGAAAATTAAGATGCCATTTTCTCAAAATCCATATTCTTCTGTTTTCGTAGATTAATTATATGTAAATTTGGAATATATTTAAAATATAAATTGTAAATGTTCAATTGCACTTTGGTATTTTATTGGATAGTTATTTAAATTGATCTCCATCAAATACGACTACTTGAAACACTATTTTGAATGCTTTAGAAATAATTTTTATTTTTTAATGACATCATAAGAAACTAGAATCACGTTACCGTAAAACAATATATAGCAACGCATGGGCATTATGGGAGGCGGGGGTATCATTTAGTGAGCTCATTGCTCACAGTACCTCTAGTTTCGATTAAACGCAATAAAAATACATATGTATTTCATTCTTCTCAACGGGCTTCCGTACAATTTAGGAGATGCAAAGATTCTTCTGCGTTGGAAAAAAAAGAAATTACTTTGCCTGAGATATATATATATATATATTTTAATAAAAAATTAATTAATTCTTTATTGAAACATCCTTTCCAACCTTTCACTAATCTAAAAAAAAATAAGACAATTAATTCTTCAGTTATTGAAAAGAAAAGGAAAAAAAAGTGAAATGACCACTGATAAAATGTTAACTGAAAATATAGTGAAAACAAGCCCACATCGTCAGTTTTTTTTTTCAAGCAATAAGCTCTTCAGTTATTGAAAAAAAGAAGGAAAAAAGTGAAATTAAAACTAATAAAATATCAAATTGAAAAAGAGTTATTACTCGCTTCGTCCGCTATAATTTTAAAGAAAAAATGCTAATTTTTTTTACTTATTTTTTTATTCTGATCATTTTATAGATTGATAAAATCTAAGTTTTGAAACTGCATGCTAGCTGTTGCAATTAGTTCCCATTTTGATGGAAAATTTGATAATATGACTGGACTAATGTGAAGTATGAAAGTCATAGCTCCACTAAAGTAAAAGTTATGCTAATTTAAAAAAAAAGGATACGGAAATAACTAACAGTATTCAATCTCAAAGTCCATAAAACATTACAATATGGGTAAGTTAAAGTGTTTGCGGACAAACAGACTGACAAACAGAAGACAACTAGACAGACGGACGGACGCACCAAATTCTATATACCCCCGAATCTTCGATCACGGGGGCATAAAATGTTTTATTAATTATATAAATTCATTAATCAATCAAATTTCATTCTCTGTGTTTTACTTCAGAATAAAAACAAGCTGCGTTTGTGAAACACTGATGCCCCCTCTCCCAGTATGGCAGCTTATGGCAAGGGTTGAAATCTCTTAAATGCATGTTCAACTCGAAATGTCAAGGTAAAAAGGTCAAAAGTGTTGGTACCCAAAGGAAGACCTTGTTACAAGGAAAACACCTGTGAAATATGAAAGCCCTTTTTCTAATTGTTCAACAGCTATAATCACGGTTAAATGTTTTAAAAAAGTGGGTCAAGGTCAAAAGGTCCAAAATATCTATACCAACTGAAAGGTCTTGTCACAATGAATACGTACATGTGATGGATGAAATCTCTAGCTCCAACTTTTCAAAAGTTATGGCTAAGGTTAAAGTGTGGCATTTTTTGTAAAAGTAGGTCAAACTCCAAGGTCAAGGTCAAGTTTGATGGTACCCATGGAAAGGTCTTGACACAAGGAACACCTTGTGAAATATGAAAGCCAAAGCTCACCAGCTCAAAAGTTATGGGCTAGATTAAAGTTGACAACACACAGTACCCCTAGTTGTGAAATATGAAAGCCATAGCCCACCCTCTCAAAACTTATGGGCTAGAATAAAAGTTGACAACACACAGACAGAGAGGGAAACAGACAAACAGACAGACAGGACAAAAACAAATATCCTTGGGATCTTTCGATCCGGGGGTATAATTATACATGCATTCAAAAATCTGAATGATAAAGTAGGTGAAATATGGCATGTCAAAAGTTGCAATATTCGATCTTTACCATTTGTATTGTATAATTTTTATTTGTATTCCATATGTTTCCATTTGTATTTTATATTTTTCATTTTTATTGTATAATTTTCCATTTGTATCCTATAATTATCCATTTGTATTACAAATTTATTTGTATGTATAATTTTTCAGTTATATATATGTATAACTTTTTTCTTATTTGTATTGTAAAATTTCTTATTTGTATTCGATAATTTTACATTTGTATTGTAACTGAAGGATTGATTTTTTTTTTGTTACGAAGGTTTTCATCGGTCAGCGCAACTATTAGTCTTAGTATTTGTAATAAAGTTTTCAAGCATTCGAAATATGTATCTTGGCGGTTGAACTTGGCTCATTTACATGTATTTGCCTTGAGGCTGAGGTACCTCTCGGGGGGGGGGGGGGGGGGGAGAAGGAAATCTGCTAAAACCCGAAAACTCAAGACTTCTGATGCGTGGGTGGCTTAATTAGGTACTACCAGTCAAATTCAAATTATTTATTTTCTTAGACAACATTTATAAGGATAGTGTTATTTATTTGACATCTGCCAGCCTCCCCTTTAATCTAAATGGCTGTCCTCTAACATGTACGCAAATTCATTTGGAAGAACCCAGTTTAAGAGTACCCGGAACATCTCGCTCATTTTCAACACAATACAGGCTAATTCTAGACAAATGAAATCGTTCGTAAAGAAATAGATAAATAATCCTTTGATACAATATAAATAAAAACCAGAAGTCTCTCTCTCGAGACTGAAGCTCGACTGGTTTGTACTTGTAACAAAGGATGAGAAAAGTAGCAGTTGGGACTTTAAACTATTTTTAGTAACTATGGCAACATAGTTCATCGAAATCAAAACCGATAAACAGAATTCTTTATCTTGGTGTAGTCTATTTGTGTGCAAAGTTATATTGAAGTCAGACAAACACTGTAGGAGGAGCAACATTTTGAAAGTATTTCAAAGAAATTTCTATTTTTAGTAACCACAGCAACAGCGTTCATCGAAATCAAAAACCGAAACACAGAAATATGTATCTTGGTGTAGTCTTCTTGTGTGCCAAATTATATTAAAATCAAACAAAAACTGTAGGGGGAGTAGAATTTCAAAAGTATTTCAAATTTTCTCATTAAAAGAACTACAAATAAAGTAGTAAAAATGAAGATATTAGATTAAAATGCATAGAAAAAATCCTAAATAAGAAAACAGTTACTGTACCAAACTGTCAAGAAAAATGGGGGGAAATATTACAAAGTAACATACAGTGGAATTTAGTTTGGGAAAGCATAACAAGAATAGAAATAAAACATTAAATTCAAGAATTTCAATGGAAAGGGATCCATAATACATATCTTGTGCACTGAAGATAAATTATGCAAAATTGGAATGTCCAGTGGTATATGTAATTTATGTAAAACCAAAGGGAAAAATCAACAATATTTTTTCATTGTAGGTTGATCAAACCAACACTTAAATAAGTAGAAGAAACAATTCTCTGTGTGTTAGAACTAAATGAAAATATGGAACTGAACCCACAAACAACAATTTTAGGCTACTTAAAAGAACCACAAAGCTCAAGAATTAAATATTTACATGTATTAACACTTTATTATACATTCATAAGTGGGTTATTATGGAAAACGAGAAAAAAGTTAAATATGAAAAAAATGTCAACCTGTAATATTCTTAAAGTTTGATTTATTTTTTCTGTCTTTATTTGTTTTCATTGTTTGTTTTTATTTTGATACTGAAATTAAACATTCAAAACAATGTTCATCGTCGCAAACCACGGCCAAAATGTACGCTCCTCTCCCATCTGGCCGTGGTTGAACGAGGAGAGAATTCGTCGTAGCTCATTAAAATATTGACCAATGCGAGTAGAGCATAGTCGGATGATGAACTTGATCGCGACCTTTCAATATCCAATCGCAGTATAGGAAATATTTCTTGTATACTGTTGACGTCAGTTGTTGATTTCGATTGCGATGGAAACAAAACTTGCCACTGACTGAATATGACGTCACAATAGAGAGGCGTAAATATTCAAGATTACGACACATTTTGTTATCAAACAGCCACGGGTAGGAGAGAGCTATAATATATGCGGAATCCGGACCGTGGCTTGAGACGTAGAACAATGTTATTCATATAATTTACAATAGTTTATTATGTACAAAATGATCACAGATGTTTGCGTCTCTGCTTATCATTTAGTATTTTTACATTTCCAAATACTTTTCTTTAAGATTCTTTTCAAGGAGGAAGACTGATCATTTTCTCATG